AGTCGAGGAGTCGGAGGAATTTTGTTGAACGGGAGTCGGTAAAATTGTCCAGACCACCCGACCACTGGCTTATTCTGTTCCAAGAAAATATATGAACTCAGTATATTCATTGTAGTGATTCCACTGATCCCACTAATTTCTAAATTATTAAAAGAATTTATTTCCATTTTATAAGCATTATTATGAATTTATTGTAGAGGCAGCCAGCAGCACTATAATTTCTGACGATAGTCTCTTTTTACCATTTTGAAATTTTGAATTATATCAAATTTTGTTTCGCTGAAAACTTGCACAGAGGCTCAGCTACAAAAACACCAATTAGCTAGCTACAACCTGTTTTGTGAGATTAAGGTAAATTTAATTTAATAACTTAACTGTAAGGTTTATCCATTTTCCTTATCAAGGTATTCTCCATTTTAATGTACATAAATATATAACTTTACTCTTAAAAAGGAATTGTATCATTTAGATCCACATCAGGACATGAGCTTAACAAATTCATATATGCTGAGATCGAACTTTTAGGATATATATGTAAAATGGTGTTTTCTTAGCTATTGTATCTTGAATTTCTAATAAATTCTATTTTTTCTTTTGATTGAACTTTGAAAGTCAAGCCTATCATCTTTTTGTAGTTCTTAACATCGCCATCATTAATAGTTGTAGCAGTATAGCCACGTGTGGCTTTTACTTTTTTACCTATGCAGGTTACAACACAAAATTACAATTAGGATGGTAGAAATAGTTGTTACAAATAGGCCAAGGAGTCGGAGTCGATTGCTCATTTTGCACACAAACATTAATTCAATAAAAAAGACATTCAGTAATAAACAATAATGAATCTTTTGTACATAAGAGAAATGACGCTGTTTACACGATTATGCACATCATCTGCACGTTGGCGGGCCGTTCAAACCCGTCAAAATTCGAGTTTCCGCCGTCAAAATTTCTTTTTTGTGTTCCAATAAAATACATTGAATTAAAAACTCGCGAAATTTGAGAAGCTACTATACGACATTTAACCCTTCAATATTTCTTCAAAGAGACCTTGATGCAGAGAAAGTGGTGCTAGTGCTTCCAAGCATAAGCACAAGTCACTATCTATTCAGGAAAAGGGTGAATTTCCATGGTCCGGCACCAGTCAGGTCCCGAGGTTACCGAATTAGAGAGGTACAACCTGTATCTTGATGTTAAAATCTTTTGTCAAATCACAGTTTTTCAATTATATACCACACTAAGAGGCCTAAGTCTCAAGGCCATTTTTAAAACAATGCAACATAATCTAGCAAAACTTTTACCAAATATAACACAATTAATCTGACATAGATCTCTGCAAGGCAGGAAAAAAGGGAATATATCATGTAAACAAGAAAAGCCAACACATTGTGAAGTATTACCAGGTACTTGATCTGTCATGAAATAGTTCCTTCATTCCTAAAGAAAACAGTTGAACCTCATTAGTAATTACTGTACTTTAAGAATAATATAAAAACACCAAAATCGTACATCAAAAACCCAGTTGGCGAGTATTTAGCATTGAAAAAATTCCATTAAAATTTTCCAACCTCATTACGACCACTAATTACCCCACAATCGAATCGTGGGCCATAGATTTAGAATCAGCATGCTCAGTGGTAGATTTTCAACAAAATCCAATTTTGGGCCTAAATCGCCCAAAATTGTAGCCTTAGTAAATTTTTTTACCAAAATATACTTTTCTCTCAGAATTGGAATTTAAGGGGTTAAACTAATTAAGTACAGAAAAACCTCAATAAACCAGATTTCAATATATCTGAATATGCTTTGTATTTTTCACTCTCTGAGGTGCTCTGGACTGCCCCTCTCTTCACCAGAAATATTTTTAAAACAAAGTCTGGAAAATCTAGCATCAGTCCAGACAGTCTGTGTATTCTTAGATGGGTTGAATGCCTGTGTGTGGGTGTTTTGTAGCACGTGTCTCACTGTTGGAGACTATGTTTCAGTCAGAGTCCTGCCTTCATATGTATAGTATCAGTGTCACACCTCACTACCTATACTCATTTATGTAAACTTTTTTGTAGAGTGAGTAGTATCTTTAACAGGGATACTAGAGTGTTTTAAGGAATGGGTAAAATTATGTAAGCACACATTTTATGAAGTGGGTAAAATAAAAAAAAATAAAATCTTATGAAAAGTACAGTACTTGCTCATTGAATACTGTACATTGGTCTAATTAGATTTACTGTAGGCCTAATGAGAGTTAAAACACTGCATATGTAAGCAGGCGTGGAGTAGTGGAGAGGGGGGGGGTCGATCGGGCATTGCCGTATTAGTCAGGTTTATTTATTGATTCAGTATTATATTCTCATATGATCAGCCTCTTATGGTGTATGGTTCATCATGATTAATATAAATCTTCAATAACAGAGAAAAAATACAATGTTTATAATTTGACTTGAAAATAAAAAGATAAGCTAAACCGGAAATTTATTCACTCAGGATGCATTTGTATGAGGGATTCTGGAGATTCCCCGGGCAGAATAAAATTGTCTGGAGGCAGCCAGAATAAATTTGTAAAGTGCAACAACTGGGAGGAAAGAGTTAAATAAAGAACCTAGAAAACTGTGTGGGACAGGTTTCCACCAACCTCGCTCATGAAGAAGACGACCATGTTCTCTTGCCAGCTTTAAACCCCACAAAGTCTTCTTATAATTGCGTTCTTGGCACTTCCTGCGGTCATTTATGAAGTCCTTTAATTGGCCAATTTCACCTGAAGAATAAACAACCATCAGTTTTCAGGCAAATACACTACAGGGTACTAATTAAATCCTTTGATTGGTTAATTGACATCTTTTGTGTCTGTGGATTAATGAAAAGAGAAACTCACAGAAGGGAGAATATAGAATACAGTACAGTACATACAATAAAATAATGAAACAACAAGGAGAAACATTCCACACATGCTGTACTACTTCCTCATATCCTTAATTAGCTTATAGTATATCCCTTACATCGACACCTATTGTCTTGATTGTCTTTCTTGTTCATAATCTTCACACAAGAATCTCAACTTCTTTCACAGTTCAACAGCTCCAGGGATAATAGTGGACATGGACAACTCTAACAAGTACAGCTCATCTTGCTTCATACATTATGAGTTGATGGATATAATACTTTAATTTCCTGTGAGACTCGGTGTATATTATGGTCTACCATAAGTAGGTGGAATTGAAAGAATGTTGAAAGATTGATAAACAGGGAAATATGTAGATTACATATACATAGATGTGTGGTGAATGTGAAATGCAATACATGTACTATTCATGTGAATAGTTTATTAATACAGAATGTCCTTTTACATGTTCTGAGTACAGTACTATATTACAATACTGTTACAGTCATTTACACTACTGAGTGAACTGTTGTGCTCAGCTAGACAAGACTTTGCCATTTACTCAGTTTCAAATAGTAAATATGGTTTCTTGCAAACAGTAAGTATAACCAAGACTACACAAATTACCAACTATATAATGAAACTCTTCAAACCAAAGAGATGGAATATCTATAGATAATTCTCTATTGCTATAATACAAAAAATAAAGGAAAAAAGAATAAAAGGAAATGAGTCAACATGACGACTTGCTCAAGGTATTCTAATCTCTTATCAGCTTATCAGCTTCCATATCAGTAAGGCCATGTACAGCCACCTTGTTTTCTACAGAGCGTCAGTCTGCCAATGCACATCAACTAGTTCTTCATTAATTCAGAAGTAAACCTACTGAGTCTGCATCAACAAAAAAAGTTAACAGAATACAAACAAACGTGTGCACACACACAAAGACTGAGAGCAGAGTTTCCTTATCTAAGTAAAAACGAAAATTCACTTTTCATAAATAACGTTTCCTTCATTACTTTCATCCCCAAAAAAGTGTATGTCTTGTGTAGTGTGTAACAAGTGCTGCTATGATCTAAATAAGGTAAATAACAGAACATAACTGCAACAGAAAAGAAATGCATTCTATGTACATTTTGTTACTTCTAGTGGGGCATGTAATGTGCATCCCTGAGAGGGTATTTGTTAAACTTGCAAATGGCGGAACAAGTCGGCCAATACTGGTGCAACCCTTATATCATCACCATGGACTTCCTTATGATGGCACCTCTAAAGGCAAACATAAGCTGCCAGTGCCTGAGGCTTTATCTCAAGACCATGAAAATAAAGCATCTGAACAAGGTGACAGTGTACATGCTAAAGGTACAGGGGAAATGAATTCCATTCAAGAAAATATTACTCGCAACTTGCCCAAGGATTCACTTCAAGTTAATCCACAAATTGGCCCTAAGGAAAGTGACTCATATGGTAAAAATGCAGCAGAATCAAATTCCCAACAAGATCGTATTGATAAAAGTAATGATGCATTTCAAGACAAGACACAGGATGCCAAGACATTAAATGTTCACCCATCAGTTTTAAGTGACAATGGGGATACAAACCTTAATGAGAACTTTCATCTTGGTGTTATAATGAAAGATGAAGACAACTTCAGACTGGAACGTGACACTAATTATGATGATCCTGATATAACTAGGTCAACAGGAATAATTATCTCTACGCTCGCACCAATAACCATCAAAACCACAAGTAAAGCAACAAGCGAGGAAACAAAGTACACGACAACAACTTCTATAAAACCCACAACTACTCCAAAGGAACCCATGAGCACATCATATACCACAAGAGTTTCACCTACTTCACCTTTGACAAATTCTCCTCCTCCAGTTCTTCCCTGCCATGAGTCATGCCTTAAAGCCCTAAATGCAACACATTTATACTCAAACAACAGTTTAATTCTCGGACAAGGGTCAGACCTCACACTTTTTTGTGAGCTCCCTCTTGATGCATCATTCTATATTGAAAACCTAATCTGGCTCTTTCACCCTTACAACAGCCCCAACGGCCAGTGTTCTCTGACGACACAAGAGTTTATCTCCTCCTGTTATGGGTTCCAGAGTGTCAAAAATACTGATGACCGCAACGATACCTTCCTCAGAGAAACAATTACTTTGGATAATATCCAGGTGAACCACACTGGTCAATACATGTGTCAGGTATGTTGTCTAATTCTGATGTTACCATGGTTATCAAACTGTTAAATGCTTTCACTCTGACTTGTGTGTATCCTTATATTAGTGCATCTACCTCCTTTTGTGTCATTATGTATTAAATGTTCTAAATTTACATTAGTACAGGTAGTACAGTATACTGTACAGTAGTACTATAATAAATTGTGAAAATAATAGAAAGTTAATTTCCTCAATGTCTCCCTATAGGTTCAAATAACATGTTGTCCAGACAGTAAGGAGCACATTATGAATCAAGAACGCATCCTCCAGGTTACAGTACAAGTTTGGACATCCAACTACACCCTTGACCTGACTGTGGCTGGTTCTACAGTTATATGCTTGTTGCTTCTTTTAATCGGAGTGAACTATTATTTGCATAAATGTCGAAATGATGATTATGTTATGGTTGAAGACCAAATTAAAGAGATGAAACCCACAACTGTGCTACATTTGCCATTAATAGAAGACCAAGATAATGATAGCTTTGACAGCAACTTTGATGAATAAGAATAGTGCTTGCTAGTGAACTGCTGTAGCTTACATTAACATTGATTATGGTCATGTGGCAATAGCTGTGAAATCACATGCTCATATAAGACTTCTAACTGAATCTTGATATACTGTACCTTGTAGTTTGCAATATTATTCACTCCTAATACATGTTCTAGAGTAAGGAAGAGTACATCAATACTATATCATTATCATGGACTAGATGTACAGTATTGTTCCCACTAATTCTTCAGAAAAAGTTCTGAAATCATCTTAATCATTGTATATTTCCAAGACTAATTGTATAAATGCCATCTGTTTATGTTTAACACAAGCTGTTTAATTAATAAATCCTGTTTTTTCTTTAAATGCAGAGGTGTGTACAGTACCACTCCTATGATAATGATTAATCAATATGTCAGGCACTTGAGTAGGATGGTCAGAGTTGTATATATCTACGGTATACAACTAAGCAAGTACAGTACCTTACACAAAATTATGCTATGAAATACCTCGTCAAGTGCAAATCAGGTAAGATATTATTTTAATACTTACGCTATAAAAAGGGTTAAATCACAAAATATGTAAAAAATCTAGTGCTGATTTTTTTTTTTACGGGGATTAGCCCACCTGGGCATAGGTCACTGACCCACATCGGGGCCTGGGGAGCAAAAATTTAATAATAATAATAATAATAATAATAATAATAATAATAATAATAATAATAATAATAATGATAATAATATTAATAACAACACTGTAATAATAATAATAATAATACAAAATTGAAAATAAAATAATAAAATAATAATGATAATATTAATAACAACACTGTAATAATAATAATAATAATAATAATAATAATAATAAAGAACCATAAAGAAATACAAAAATGAAAAAAAAGATCAAAAGTGAGAAACAATATATGTATGTTGTGTTGTCAATAGTAAGAGAAACAATTGAGACCCTACAATTGTGTGTAAATGAGGCAGAAAGTCAGATCAGTAGCCTGGGACTTGGTCACAATTTTCGTGATGCCATATGGCAGCAGGGTCTACCTTTAGACAACACATTATGTTTCCAATATCTTCCCATGCAGTAGTACCTCCCTGTTTGGTAGCTGCCTACTACCTACTATGCTAGTACAGTACTACTTGTAGTTGGTCCCTGGCATTGAAACCATAGAGGTAAGTTCATTTGGCAACATACTGTATATATTATGTTATCTTTTCAAAGCCAGAGACAAATTTGAGAACTGTCACACATATATATGACATTATATTCGGTTATTTAGTCCTCTTACAAAGACCTGCTTCTTTTTTAAAGTACTGTAGGTAAAATTGTTTTCCTGAACGGGTGGAAAAATCCAGCCTGTCTATAAAGGCAGGTTCAGAAGTTACTAATTGGTTGGCCAAACTATTAAGACTTCATGGAGCCAATATCTATTGACTTTGTACTAGCACCACTGCTATCACTTGATTGCTTCTTTCAAATTATTTTTAATAGACTTTTAAAAAACAACGCCTCATAAAAGCACTTAATTTATGGTGGTCAGTGTGATATAATAGGAAGTGGCTGACTGAAATGAAGCCACAATGCACCATCCTAAACAGAACAAATGTACATTGCACTTTGGAGGGGATTTTTAAATTCACATTTTTTAATCTTTAAAATGTTTTCAATTTATTTGGGAAAAATGTAAACACTGGTCAAACATCAGTTTAACATGAATCAAGTCCTATTTCTACAAAAGTTTTGTGTGAATCACCACAAGATGGACCCTTATAACTCAGGGCTATGCTGTATTTTTGAACGTACAGATAATCACATTTTCACTAAACTACTAACACAAACACACATGCACACTCACACACACAGAACCTCCCTTAGGTGTTCTCATTCCATGATAAACATCCGATTTATTACTCTACTCTTATTTCTACAACACACCTATGCATTAAAATACTCATTGCCATACTTTCTGACCTTGCATGCAGACTGCTGTTTTCTGAACATACATCCCCCCCCACTCACCCAGTAGTACCTGTACCAGTAATTCACACAATGTTTCCTTCACCTACTTGGGCTTCCTATTTCTCTCCCACAATCCTCTTCAGAAACATAAATTCTTAACGAAGTTTCATTTCCCAATCATATCCATATCTTAAACAGCATTCTTCTTACAGAAATATGTAAAGCTATGAAAACATATTACAGTACTACACCAGTCTAAAAGAAAGAAAACCAAGGGACAAGAAAAAATAATGAATATCAAAGAGTGAAAGATTATTACAAAAGTTACTCACATGTTTTGGCATTAATATCAATTTTCAGTCTTCTTATTTCACTTCGAGCTGAAGATAACCTCTTCTCAAGGAGATCTAAGAGGTTGGTGTCCACCTTCTCTTTCATAGACATAATCTGATGTTTCTGTTGTTCTATGGTGAAGCGAAAAACATGTTCCTGGCTCTCTGCTTTCTCTTTATTGCACATTTCCTCTTCCAAGCATTTCTCTGCCTTACGCAATTTCTCCCTATTGACAATAAGATAGGAAAACTATGAGTGATGAACAGCATTCACATAAACTAGAGCAAACCCAATAATTTCCTGTCTTTCTCCCATTACATTATATGGATGAATAACAGCTCTAACGCAAGAGAATTATCTTTGTTTCAGGTCACAATAAAACACAGTGAATACCATACACAGACATTAAAACCTCACCATTTAAAATTTTGACAATTCAAATCCATTTACTAGGTTCAAAATTCTAACCTATGAATCAAATGGTCTAAAATATTTCAAATGGTAATTGCATGAACATCTCCCATGCACGAGTATGAAATCTGATTAATCAGCACTCAAAGCACCATTATATCTGACTCTATCTCAGTGCACCCTCAAAAATGTGGGTTCAAATGACCATTTTGATGTAGTTCCAGCTGACAAGACAAAAACATAATACTGTACAGTAGAGGCAGAGAGAGTATCCAACCTGCCTGGCTTTAAGTTCTTCCAGAAAAAAAGGACTTCGGAACTACAGTAATCCTTCATTTTTTGATAATGCTTCCCCAATTCCTTAACATATCAGCTAAAATTAAAGGGAGGAAGAAGTGTCACAAATACTCCAGGTCTAACTCAGTCACCCAGCAGCAGCATCCATTGCCAAAAACCATTCAATGCTATGATGCTCTTCTGGGTCACATGTATAAATGGTATGCTCTTCTGGGTCACATGTATAAATGGTATGCTCTACTGGGTCACATGTATAAATAGAATGCTCTCCTGGGTCACATTTATAAGTGTTATGCTCTCCTGGGTCACATGTATAAATGCTATGCTCTCCTGGGTCACATGTATAAACTTAAACAATCTATCAGTTTCAAAACTTCTATCTCCCTCTTTGTTACCATTCAGAAGTGAGTACTTGTATAGTGTGACCCCAATGATGTACCTTATAACTGACGTGTGACAACAGTAATGTGCACATTTAGTAATACTTTCAGGATATACAGCACATCAAATCACTGTTTTAATAACCTAAAGATTAGCATCTGATATTCAAGAGACTTGGAAGATGGTATGTAACTAAGACTTTTAATTAAATAATCATTTACATTATACATAGCATCTAAAATCATTTATATTCTCACAATGCAGATTACCTCACATTGAATACAATAAATTGTGTGAAGAAACTGTGTTCAAATGAAGATTTATTGTACCACAAGACTTTCTTAGTACCCGGTATCCACATCATCATCATCAATGTTTAACAGCCATGTTTGCATGGGTTATACATGATTACCTGATGATAGCTGTTGGATAAAACGAGAATGGGATGTTCCCACCTCCCCTGCTTACCACAGCAAACTCAGGATACCAGCCCAGAAAATGCAGCAGATGCCAAGGGATGGGCACAGCTCTGGTGACCCAGTTGCCATCAGACATGTTAAAGCAAAGTTTTACAACTGGATGCTCTTCCTAACACCAACCCACAAGGTGGGAACAGCTGGCAAAACAGGGTTGCAACTCCCTGAGGTAATCAAAGACTACCCACATATAAACACAGATAGATAAATAGGTAGATGTCCTAAAAGATAGATATAAAGATAAAATACTTATCACTCAGCATTCTTAGTGCCATCAACTACAGGTACCATAAATACTCTGCCTCCAACAGATGTGGTTTTAACCAAAGCAAATAATTTTTTCTCTCACCCACCAGTAGTTAGTAAGAGGGATTGTAATATAATTCCTAATCATGATGCAACATATAATTGAGGAACATATGGAGAGGAAGGTAACTTAAGAGGAATATAGAGGAGCAAACAACACTATTATTATTTTCACTTCCTACCACTCTTAGAAAAGCTGTGATTAGTGATTTTTACAAATGACCTACCTGAGCGGTTCAACTTCCAGCAGTAAGTTGGTCATCTGTTCGTGTATGTAGGAATATTCACGACTACGCTGGTCGTAAGCCAACTGTAGATTAACATTCCGCTCTTTCTCTCTCTCATACTCGGTTACAATATGTAGTAATTTACTGGAAAAGAAAAGCGAGTAAGATTCTAAGATTCATCCATTTAACACAAAATCAGACTCTTTCCTCTTCATAACAAATCTCCCTCTTTCTGTATTCTTCACTTTGCAGATCTCCAAGTACCATAAGGATAGCAATGATTTTAAGTTTTACAGCCGAGTCTACAACCAAACTAAAACACCTAAATTCATTATGTACTGTACAAAATAAGTGCTATATTTCAAAACAAAGAAACCTGACTCTTCTATATTTTATGATATTAATGTTATACTAAGGGTTATCCTTATCTACATACAGGGTTGGCCGATTTAAACCAATGGTTTAAACCAAATGATTTAAACCAATGGTTTAAACCAAAAGATTCAAACCATGGTTTAAACCAAACAAAAAATCACTTATTAACACCAATATAATAGCATTAAAAAAGAGATCGCAAAAAAAAAAGTGTTTTTTCTTTTTACCAACCCTGCAAGTAATCATACAGGTATCAAATTGCAAGCAACAGCACCTTAACAGCATGTTCAGGGGTACAAATATTGGTATTTGAAATTTAATGCGTGTAACTACTCAAGTACCTGTACATACAGAATAACACACAAACTCCAAAAAGTGACCTTGAAAAATCATAGGTGGTGAGTAATTAGTGTTAGAAAAGTAAATAAATTTCTGAGATGTCATTTGGACAAGTAAATGCATATGGTTATTATTTGCAAAATTATTTGAAGTGAAGAACAGATAAATATAGAAATCAATGAGACAAAATGAAGGTGTATATAGTAAGTTGGTATGTAAAGCAGGTTAGAACTCTCCTCCAATATGTGTGAGAGAGAAATTTTCTCTTAACCCATACTGTAGCTTATGCCTCCATCTTGTCTTCCATTAGACACGGTTGGATAAAAGAGCTACGGGTATGTGTGTGTAATACAAAACTAAGACTTTGGCAACCTAGATACATTCTAGTGCCTCCTGGTTGTCTTGTATATGATTTGAAGTTACTGATGAAATTTTTGTCTTACAGTATTTTGATAATAACATGGTGACACTGGCAAGAAGGAAATGTTGGATTATTTCAGTACATTGTGTCAATGGCTAGAGGTAAAAAGACTAGAGAAACCCTGAAAATTGATTAAGAGCAAAATCTTTACATCATTTCTAAAAGGTTCATAGGAATCACAAAATAAACAAAAGATAAATTCAAAACTAAACACTGACATGTGTTGAGAGTGTGAGCAGTACAGTACAGTACATAAGGGGAGGTGACGACATAATTAGGAATTATGTACTACAGTACTGTACGAGGAGTCTCTTCACAGGTCATTGTTTTTTGCTAACTGAAATGGAATGAAATCAAGGAGACCAGACTAATACTTACTCTGTGTTTTCAAGCTTAAGTTCGTAAAACTTATTCCACTCACGACTAACTTTCAGTTTCTGAAAAATAAGGTAAAAAATTCTATACAGTTTATTAAAGATGTGGTTACCCAATTTTATCTTTTACTTACATTACAATACTCATATACCAGTTTTAAAGTTGTAATAAATTATGAGAAATAAGATTAAGGTTGTTGTTTTCTGTCAGTCTTTCATGCACTTTTCTTAATTCAGTACAGGATGGCCAGAGAATAATTCTAGCCTTCTTAGCATATGTGTTCTATTTGTAAACATTCAACTGTTATTTCCTATAAAGCTATTTTTATTATGGAACACAAAGTTCTTGCTAGAAACATATTTAAAGGGGGATACATGGTTTGCACTGCCAGTGAGATTTTTTTAATAACATTTCTGTATTGCTCTCATTTTATGCATTAAGCATTTTAAATCTTCCAAATAATGTTAGCAGAATCTTATCTATAATACCTCAATGGGTAAGTTCAAGGGGGGATATGCCCTTTTATGTCACTTGAGGGGTATCAATCCCCCTATACACCCCTGTTGAGGGAACAGTGGAGAGGCATCACACAACCCATACATTGATCTATGATACATGCTCCCTCAAACACCCACTCTTCTTACTGTTTCCAATTTACATTATAATTTTTTGTGTTTCAAAATTCTTATCCACCTTTTTCAACTCCTCAACTTATAATAAAACTTAATTTCTTACTCCTCAACCTTTGGCACTTTTAGAAAAAACTGACAGCATAGCTTACAATCTTCTAATGAATCTGTAAATGAGATATATTCTGTACTTCCAGCTTGCTTAACCTAGTATACATATGTTTAGCCTTACTTAGTTTAGTACAACTACTGGTATATCTTATCCTAGCTGACTCTAATACAGGTAGGCTTAATTTTGTGTATAGTACACAAATGCAAGAAAGTTTAACCTTGTTTGTGTTAGTAAAAAAAATCTAACTGCTTATACTACTGCAGGACAAGCAAGAGTAACCTTGCTTTGATTAGTATTGAATCCCTAACCTTGCTTAGGTTAGTACAATCACTGCATCCACTCTTGTTCTTGGCCAGTAGTCCGGCAGTATCATTTCCTGGTTTATCTTCACCAGGAAGAAGTTTTGGGTCTGACATTATGGTTCACCAGCTACAGCACACTGAAAGAAATTAAATAAATAGATTTTCTAAGCATTGGTACTGAGGTTCAATTAATACTGTCATCCATGAGTCATGTAATAACAAAAAACAGTGGGCTGCCAGAACCTTCCCAGTGTTTTTACACACACAATCCATGGAGAAAGGGGCTTACTGGACAACCTCTGTGAATGATTAACCTAAATTATGATACAAAACAAAATACAGTACTGTATACAGTATATAAGAAAACATTGTTTAAGAAGATCACTATGAAAGTTCTGATTATTATAAAGATTACAATTACTGAATCAATATGGTTGCAGTGAACATCTACTGGCATATTTCTCATGGTAGTCAACACTTTTGTTGTTCTTTGGCTGTTCTTTGTACAGGCTTTGTGAAAATTGTAAGTACCAGCAGTGGAATTAGTAGTACAGTATATATGTACTTGTAATTTATACAATTGAATTGAAGGTTTCCTGACAAACAAAGAACAATCTGTATCAGTAAACAGTGTTAAATCAGAATGGGTTAAGGAAGGTGAAAAGTAGAATTTTGTTTACTATACAGTACATGGAAATGATCTACCAAATTCTATTCACCCAATATGCAAAGTCTTCATTGATGATGCAAAAATACACATCAAAGCAGTAAAAGAGGATAATACTCTTCACCAAGATCAAGTAAAACTTGAAACAAGGTAAAAAACCTGATAAGTAGAGTATAACAGAAAAATGTTAAGCGAGGACATATTGACTGTGGACATACAGGTGTACTGTATAAGCATACTGTATTTACAAATTATAGATTATTAAATAAAGATTTAAAGAGAGTCAGACAAGAGAAATATTTAGGTGTGATCATCTCAAGTGACCTCAAGGTTGAAGAACACATTTCAGCAATCACTGGAAAAGCTACCTAATCAGATGGCAGAAATAATAATAATAATATTAAATAAAAAATAATAATAATAATTATCTATGCCCCTAAACATTTAATTTTTGGATAAGAGTTTTGTGAGGCCACACTTGGAATTTGCTGATCAGGACTGGTGTCCATACCTAAGAAAAGGCAATGATAGAATTGAGAAAGTACAGAGAAGAGCAACAAACCTGTCTTAAGGAATCGTCATATGAAGAACGGCTGAAGGATCTTGGATTAACTACACTCAAGGAAAAAACGAGAGCAGTGACTCAATAGAAACATTTAAAATTATGAATGGTATTAAACAGATACACAGGTCAGAGTTTATCCAAGAAAATTGGAACAATTTAAGATTTTGCATATTTATGCAGGTAAATATACTTTATTTACCTAATGGTCACCCATTAGAGGAGGCCTTGATAAGGAATATGTGGACTATTATGAAATAGGATTAACTTTTATCTTAGAGGAAATACAATTTTGATCACATCAAATGGGCAGGGCTTTGAAGCAAAGGGAAATTGTTGGGTAAAAACACATACAAAAATAACAAAACAAAACAAAACCTAACTACTGAAATATTAGTACAGTACTGTATACATACATGTCTAACCTAACCTGAGAAACTAGAAAGACCTGTATAAATTGAAGTCAGGGCTAAACAAAGGTGATATAACAAAGGTACTCAAACTATCCAACCAGGAGCGAACTCATAACAATGGTTTTAAATTAGACAAATTTAGATTTAGGTGCGAGATAGGTAAACATTGGTTTGGAAATAGAGTAGTGGATAAGTGGAACAAGTTACCAAATATCATCATTTATGCGAATACGCCGGACAGCTTCAAACATAGGTGTGTAAACCTAACCTAGCCTCCAGTGTGTAAACCTAACCTAACTCAATAGGACAAAAGAAAAATGCAAAAGAAACTAAAAAAACAAACTTGTAATCGAAGTAAATATTTCCAACAAAAACACACGTAAGCAAACGTAACACTTCAGCTAATTGGCAGAGTAATTAGTAAATTATGTATATCCCGTGAAGCTTTATTCTCTTAAATGAAATAAAAAAGTGAAAATAACTCTTATTTACTAAGACTTTAGCAAAGCATTTGACAGAGTACCGCATCAGAGGATTCTGAAAAAAATTAAGGCTCATGGTATCGAGGGGAAGTTTTAAATTGGATAAAATCATGGCTCACCGATAGAACGCAGAGGGTCAGCGTAGATGGTGTTAAATCTGAGTGGGGCTGTGTAACCAGTGGGGTTCCCCAGGGGTCAGTACTAGGCCCACTCTTGTTCATAATCTACATAAATGATCTAGATACTGGGATCAGCAGTGACATAAGCAAGTTTGCGGATGACACCAAAATAGGGCGGCAGATTAATTCAGGGCAGGATGCAAATGCATTACAGGAGGATCTAAATAAACTGCAGGGGTGGTCTGAAAAATGGCAAATGAAATTCAACACCAGCAAGTGCAGCATACTTAATATTGGAAGAACAAATACTGACAATGTATACAGCCTTAACATCAACCTAGAGAAGTTGACTTGTGAAAGAGACCTAGGGGTACTTGTAAGCCCGGACCTACGGCCTAGAAAACAGTGCGTTAATGTTCGAAATAAGGCAGAGTATTAGGTTTTATATGTAGAAGTGTAAGTAATAAGAGTGCAGAGGTCTTATTGCAACTATATCTTGCGCTAGTCAGGCCGCACTTCGATTATGAGGTTCAGTTCTGGTGCCCTTATTATAGAATGGATATCAATTCACTAGAGTCGGTGCAGTGAAGAATGATGAAAATGATTCCGGGACTTAGAAACCTTCCATATCAGGATTGGTTAAAGAAACTTAACTTGCATTCCCTAGAAAGACGCAGAGTGCGGGGAGATATGATAGAAGTATTTAAGTGGGTGAAAGGAATCAATAAAGGAGATATAGATAAAGTTCTTATAATATCCAAGCAGGATAGGACTCGGAGCAACGGATTTAAGTTGGATAAGTTTAGGTTTAGGAGGGAGATAGGAAGGTTCACAAATAGGGTGGTGGACGAGTGGAACAAGCTTAGCAACTTTGTAATAAGTGCTGGAAAGTTTCAAAAGGAGGCTAGATAGATTCATGGATGATAGAGAGTGGTAGTAACTCTCGACAGGAGCTGCCATGCACAGGCCAACCGGCCTATTGCAGACTCCTTATTTACTTACGTTAACTCGAAAAATATAAATTTCCGATGGATGAGCTATTCTTTTATCCTCTTGCTATGCCCCACCATGGTAAGCTGGTCTGGTGGGGCACTGCAAGAATTAATACATACAGCAGTTTCGTGAATGGTTACTAAGATATATTACCTTAAAATGGTTCTTTAACACGCCGGTTAAACGTCAAATAGATAAAAGCAGAATAAGGACGGCGAGGTCGAAATCACTCTACGACGACACACGAGTTCATCTTTGGGCGAGTCAATATTTCCTCTCAGAAATCTTTTTTAAAATACAGCAACACACAGTCTTGTCACTCATAACACTATGGCACACATATCATCTCATGATGACCGTTATATAGTTCCTTAAGTCTCTCATGTTGAATTAATGAACCAATTCACATTGCTGACTAAACAAGAGATCAAACATAATAATGTTTAAATTGCTACCACGAACTGCACAATCACATCATAGGTTTTTTTTTGCAATTAAAATCATAATTAAACACCTAATATAACAAAAAAATCATCAACTTTATTATTTTGTCTGTAATTAACTTTTATTAAGTTTTTATTATTTAAATTTATAATAGTGTGAGGTCGTTTTTGTTGTAAATATTTAACATTAAAGATATTTTCGTCCCCTACCACAACATGCCATGAAAACACTGCAGATAACTCGCAACACAAACCAGACACTACAAACATTAGCGAATCAAAATAAGGTTTACATAAGTTTCTCTTATAATTGGTTAAATTCTGCATCTCGCATAATGTTTGAGAAGATTTTACCAGAGATGATAATGATAATTTTTTTTTCAATTAGAGAAGTAAATAAAGTAGGTGTATAGTAGTGCATATAGGCTCCCAGATATTAATTTCTAGAAAATAAAAGTGAATCACGATGAAGCTATAAAAACTTCATAAATATAAAAGCTTCAGACAGTTATGGCAGGCATAAGTTAATTCCCTGATAAACAAATTAATCCCAGTCAGGTTTAGAGTGATGATTTTATTAATTAGACGTTGTTCTTCCCACCACCAACCATTACAGCGCCATCGAATAAGAAAACTACTACCACCAATAGTTTATCATCATCATCACTTGACCAACACAAATTTCGACAGTGGGTCAGCCGTGTCAGGTGTCCATATGAGGCTATTTACTGAGTTCAGTGAGTTGCAGCAAGTGATAGTGAGTTAATCTTTTTTACGAGTGACTGGATATGAACATGCAAAAGAAATTTTATAAACAAGGGCCAAAAGGAGAAAGGTCAGTGAACTGTAAGCTCTAAAAACTAAAAAAAAAATGGATTTGTGGTCAAAAGCCACACATGTCTTCAGGAACTTGGGTGCTACCGTTATTCGTCGTCGTCGAATCCAGATAGTAATTAGTGTACATGTCAATGGAAGCTGAGGGTTCGGATTGCCAGATGATGATCAGTGACCGATCGCCGACACGTGGCTGACCAACATGACCATGACAAGAAGCTGTGACAACATTTCAGTGGTGACACCGAAACGTCAGGAGTGGAAAAATGTAGGTGTCTGAATCTTTCATTTTGTTACAGATAAGTGTTGTAATTATACTTATCGTGTCTACTTACAGTTTCATAAGTTTTTTATCAGTACGTACTAATGATATTAGTTAACAAAATCATTAATTTGCACCATATGTAAGTTTAGATGACCATTGACCAATAGGTTAAGAGATAGCTGGCACTTATTTTACTCAACCTCATAACAGTTTTAAGGTTCACTCAGAACTTCCAAGGAATACTTACTTAGTGGAATATGCAAGTGAGATGCTAACTAGAAATTCCCCTCGCGAACAAATAAGTGTGTTCCCAGTGAATTTAAGTGAGAAAATTAAGTTAGTCGTACGTGATGTTTAGTCAAAAGGCACAGTAATTTAAAGTAGTGGTGTTCCCGTATTATACAAGTCTATGACACAATATCATATATTTGGGAACAGCATAAAATACAGTTTTCATATTAAAATAAAACTAATTCAGTTTGCCAGATGCTTCTGGTGTCATTGTACAGGGGTACCTAGTGACAGCACTAGGATCCCGCTTCCTCTATCAAGGAATAAACAATTGAAATTGAAATTGAACTAATTCAGCTTTGCTACAGCTCCTGCCTGGAGTCATCTTATGTTGAAAAGTCCCTTCATCCGGTACAGGGTGTTTACCCCACTGGTTAAATGGCAATAGCACGAGTGAGGAAGGCTGCCAAGAAAATGGAAAGGAGAGTTGGTGCCAGTACACAGCCTTGTTTTACCCCCGTTTGGGAGGGGAAGAACTCAGACTGGGTGCCACTGTGCAGGACACTGCCGTTCATGCCATCGTGGAGTTGCTTCACAATGGCTTCCTTGTTGACTGAGTCGTTAGTATGATCGATGAAGACCATGTACAAGTCATGACGCTGTTCTGTACACTTTTCCTGTATCTGCTAGGCAGTAAAGATCATTTCAGTGGTGCCACATGAGTGACATGATGGTCTAAAGCCACATTGAGATTCTGGAAGGAAGATTTCCGCCTCAGGAAGAAGTCTATATAGTAGGATTCGGGCGATGATCTTGCCAGCGACTGACAGCAGTGAGATCCCGTGGTAGTTACCACAGTCTGACCAGTCTCCGTTGTTTTTATAAAATTGACAATGAAGGTGGTTTTACAATCTTGGGGGATTTTCTTCTCCCACATATTCTCCAGAAGGTCCTCCTGTTTTATACACTTCGGCTGGGATTTCATCAATCCCAGTGACTATTATATTTCATGCTGTTATATTTCATGTTTGATAGTAGTATCTACCTCATCCAGGGATGGAGGATATAGCTGAGGTGGGTCAGCTCTGGGTGCCGAGGGACCTGCTGGGTAGTCATGCCATCCACATCGGTTTACGGTAGAGCTCGTTCCGGTGCTAACGGATTCCTTCGTTGTTTTCAATTAAGGAATTACAGTCGGTTGAGCGGGGGGACAGCACTGAGTAACTGGGTGTACAAGAATATTGTTTCAGTGGAATTGAAAAATTCACTCATTTTGTGCCAGTCCACAATTTTTTGTATTTTACATGCTATATTTGTCCACCATTTGTTCAGTAGTTTGTGAAGTTTGCACTAAGCTGCCGCGTTTTTTCTCATGGAAGGTATCAGCTTTGGTCCGAGACTGAGGGTCGGTGAAAACAGCACGTTTACCATCGACGAGTGCGTTCATTTCCTAGTTATTTTCTTCAAACCAATTTTGGCGTTCTATTTCGATCTGGCCGAGGGTCTCGCTGTAAGTTGTTGTCACGACAGCACCGAAGATTCCTCGTTGTTTAATGTTGTGTTGTTTATCAGCCCATCCTCGAGCTATTCTCTGTAAGCATGTTTTACCATTTGATCCTCCATTGACTTGGTATTAAAACCTCTTCAGGAGGCTTGTTGCCTTCGCCGTTTGGGCTGACGTTAAGGGAGAGTTTGACTCTGATGAGTCAATGAGATGCCAATGTTTGGATCGTGTATGTTGCCAAGAGCTGTTAAGCTTGTCGGCATGCCTAACAGGGTGTTAATGATAAGGTTGTGTTCAGCACACTTTCTGAGGAGGAGTAGGCCATTGGGATTACACTTGCCCGCTCCATTTCTCCTTATGACTCCCTGTCATAAGTCAGCATCTTTGTCAACTCTGGCATTGAACTCACATAGGAGCACAACATTATCTTCTCTGGGGATAGAGGTTACCACTCTGTCAAAGTCGGCATAAAATACCGCCTTGATATCATCCTCTGCATCCAGTATTGGGGCCTATGCACCGATGAAGAAAACAGGGTGTGAGTAATTTAGTAGGACTCAGAGCATCATGAGATGCTCTTTGACCCAAATAGGCATTTCCATTAGCCTATGTAGGATGGATTGGCGAATGGCAAAGCCAACTCCATAAAATGCGATTTCTCTCCGCAACCGCCTTACCCTTCCAGAGGAAGGTATAGCAGGGCCCCTGTTCTGTGAGTCGACTCTGATCGTCTGGGAGTCGGGACTCACTAATGACTGCTATATCTATGTTGTACCAAGACAGCATTTTGGCCACAAGGGCAGTTTTTCTTTCTGGATGCTCATTTGTGTCAGTATCCAGAAGGGTCTTGACATTCCATGCAGCGACCGTAAGATATTGTATAATTTGAATTTGCTTTGATCTGTGATTATGTTTTCGACAGCGTTAGGATGATCTTACTCTGTGTGGTTGCCCATTCAGGCTTGTTGTTTAGGCAGGCTATATTTAGGGCACCCTTTATAGCCCCCTCCCCATGTGGGGTGAGCAGAGTGGCTCCTGGAACTGGCTGCTCATTCGCACAGACAGGACCAGATTGCACTGCTGCCTGGATCCCAATGCATAAATGATAATCTTATAAATGCCGCCCATGTGCAGAGTTGTGACTAGAGACTCCCGACGGTCATCTCTCCCTGTCCCCGTCGCCATTCATCTGTTGCCATAGGACTTTTGATGGTTTAAGGGTCCTAATGATGCGGAATGTGGAAGGGCAGTGTGTAGGTTAGGTTAGGTGTTTAGTGGTGTGCTTAGGGGGTGTTTCTAACCAAGTGGCCCAGAGGTATTCTTGGAAACTATTTTACTCTCTTTATAATGTGTTATGTAATTAAACAATTGTACTATACTACATATTATTCACTACAACACTAACACTACATACATCACTAGTACTTGTTCCTTTATAACACTAGCTCTAAATGTTCACTACCACTCAACCACTATATGTTGACATTCATCATTGACGGCAGATAATCCTCTCAGAAACTAACATTTTATAATTAAACTTTCCACAAATTTAAAATAGCGGATATTAACACTACTATAGCTGCCCTGTTAACACCATCAATAAACTACCATCATCACTACACTACCACCATACCATCACTACCACCACCGCACCACCATTATTATACTACCATTACCACTACATTACCATCATCACTACACTACCACCATACCATCACTTCCACCACTGCACCACCATTATTATTCTACCATTACCACTATATTACCATCATCACTACACTACCACCACCGCACCACCATTATTATACTACCATTACCACTACATTACCATCATCACTACACTACCACCATACCATCACTACCACCACCGCACCACCATTATTATGCTACCATTACAACTACATTACCATCATCACTACACTACCACCACCACACCACCATTATTACACTACCATTACCACTACATTACCATCATCACTACACTACCACCATACCATCACTACCACCACCATACCACCATTATTATACTACCATTACCACTACATTACCATCATCACTACACTACCACCATACAATCACTACCACCACCGCACCACCATTATTATACTACCATTACCACTACATTACCATCATCACTACACTACCACCATACCATCACTACC